GTATACTTTAAGTAATGAAAGCAAGTAAACACATTAAAAGATCTATTTTAAAGTTTCTTGCAAACCTTTAAAAAAACGCGACCCTGGAGTCACATGACTCTCTCGCCTTGCCGTAGTGACGTCACACCCAAACAAGCGACAGTCAGCTGGTGGCTTGTGTCGGATGCTCGAACCAGCTGGGTTTTCTCTAAATAACTTGTATCACAATGTCTCAGGATCTATGGTACGTCAGGCTATCAAACGCTGTGATACGTTGACTCGACTGTAACATTCACCACTTGAAACGACGTGTATAGCCCTGGAAGCTACTCTTTCTCTAGCCTGTTAGCAAGTAGGAGCTAGCTCTTCCCCATAGACATTAAGGCTAACGTTAGCTTCCGGCTTCAACAAGACATTACACACTCATCTTGTGTTGTAACGGACCGGGACAAAGAAAAGTCGTGATTTTTATAATTGTTTTAATGTCTTCTCTTCATGTTAAAACTTAGTAACATTACTAGAGTCTCTCTGAGGTTGTTTCTGACAAAACTAACAACTCCACACATTTAATCCAACAGCGCTGCATCTTAGAAAGACTAAGATAGTGTAGCCCAAACTTCAGGTTTGCTCCCTCAGCTTCTTTCAGATGCTTAATGAAGTATCAGCTTATCATTGACTTATTGAGCTGGCGTGTATCAACTGCATTCATCTACAAGATAAGACACATGTCTTGTATTTATAGGTTGCACAATATTAGGAAACACATACGTCTTCCCCTTGAGCAGACCCATTGACCAGAGATTCACTCCTTCTTTTCTCTACATGAATCACCTACTTGCCTCCTGATTTATTATTGTGTTTGCATGTCCTAAGACAGTGATGGCTCTGTTTTCATGACACCTCTGGTCCGTTCATTCACTTGTAGGTTACAGAACTACGACGCTACTTGTCGCCTGGCGCAGGAAATCGCAGAAAATGTTCATGAGCGGAACAGGCAGCAGAGAACAGGGGGGAACACTGCAAAGGTGAGGTGTTTCATTCACAAAGTTCAACTGAAAAGACCACTGTCTACACATTTTGTTTTCGTTCAGTCAGTCAGTGTCTATATCTTGTCTTTTCAGATCAACATGACGCTACGGGCGTCACTGCAGAAGCTGAAACAGAATATTGCCCAGCTCAAAGAGGGCTTGTTGCGAGCTTCGTCATCTCGACGCATGTATCCTCTTTTTCGAAAAGAATGGTGGAGCTTGAATTCCATACATGATAAGAAAAGGAGCCTCAATGCTTCACATCTGATCTCCTTTAGCATAGGATACACTGGAACATTTTTAATGAAAGGAAGGAGAAAATTCCTGTAAAATATAAGGGAATGCACTATTGTAGTTTCACCACGGCAGACCCATGTCAACAATAGTCAACATAGGCTTGTGACATGACTCCCAAACCCTTGAAATTTGAGGAGCTTTAAATCATCCAATATAGATTTATTCTCATCTAATCTGATGAGAAACAAACGTATTTAATTTCTTGTTCATAACATCATTACTAAATCTCCTTATTGTGAAATGGACCAAGAAAATTCACTACCCAACAAATGTCTTAGAAAGCTAAAAATCACCCATGCCCAGAGACTCAATTTACTAATGTTTAAATATAATTTATATTCAAACAAGTCATTATTTTTTATTAATTTCTTATTTTAATGTCTTGACTTTTTATTTTTATGTCAACAATATTTAATTTCCCGGTATGTAATTAATGGTAAATGTTTCCTATATACAACTTTGGAGGTGAGATACTGTATTTGTCAGTAAACCCTGACCTTGAATTGAAGGCCTACAGCATTTAGTATGTCACTGTTCATATCTTCTAAGTGTTATAGATTAACTGATTATAAACAAACAGTGTAACTGCAAAGAGATTTTATCAGCACTACAGTAGTTGTCTAGATCCTTTCAAATTCACATCTTTCTTGGACCTGATGACACTTTCTATTGAGGTCAATTTGGTGAAGAAGAAAGATTCTTCTGACTCTTCAACCGCAGACCATAATTACATGTTGGGATGGAGGTTTCTCTCACTTGCAGTAGCAGTTGTATTCCTATAGAGTGCATCAGAGTGTTTTAGAATATGTCTACTCCCCAACACCTGAAGAGTTTCCTCTTAGGAAGGTTTTGTAAGTGATGTTGACCTTTTGCATGACCTTAACACGACCTCTTCAGAATGCAGTCAGAAGCTGACAGGAGACAGAACCTCATTGATGACCTGCTAACCAGAGAGAAGCAGCTCAATGCCACCTTCAAGGGAGACATCACAGAGCCAGAACCTTCCAGGTATTTAGATATAGGCAGAACATTTTATCTGAGATAAGAGGAACAACCAGTATGCACAGATCTCACAAAGCATTATCTGCTGTTATTAAGCGGAATTATGAAGCACTTGACAGAAATTCAAAGTTGCAGTCTGAAATTGTGCACATAAACAGAAGTTTGTCAAAAAAAAGGGGCTATTATAACAAGTTTTCAGTTCTCTCTGAAACTCCTGGAATATTTGCCCATATCTGTCACTGTTGAACAGTATTTCCTGTCTGTTTAAAAAATAAAATCTAGCACTGATTGCCCAATTAAAAATAATGAATCCTCATTCTCTTGTCTATCTCCTTGACCAGAAAGGTCATAGGCTCTGTTTTCTGCTTTGATGAAATGCCGCTGTTCACTCACTTTGTGTGAAAGTCTTTGCACATCCGGTATGACCCATGTGCCATGACCTCTTCCTGTGCTATCACTTGGAAGGAAGTCTGTCTGTCTGCCATTTTGACAAGGCGCTTAACTTCATAGCTAATTCTTAATGAAGAGATTTGCTCGCTTCGCACTGTTGATCACACATTTGGCCCCTACACACAGACACACATACACACACACAAACACACAAACACACACACACTTGCGCGCGCTTATCAATGTCAATGTAAATTACTCATGTTGTGGAGAATCTGTAGTCAGATTTTCTACCCGAAGCAATTCTCCATAACTTAAACCATTAAGTTTCAAATGGAGACACATTGTTTGACACAAGTTTAGAATTAGCTTAACTTTCTGTTATAGTTGGGTTTATGCAAGTTGTGGTCATAGTTATGGTCAGAGTTAGTGTCCTGGAAATAAATGTCCTGGAATCGCACATCAAATGCTGCTGTCAATTATGAATTCTCAGCCCCTTTTTATTGCATCAAATAACAAAATAAAAATCAAACATATACAAAAGAAACACTGTCCCTTCATCAGTGGGATAAGAATGATCTACAATGACAGAAACCATTTTTTCTAAAAAACAATGTATTACAAGTGTAATAAAGGCCTTTGTCCAAACTGATAACTTGGAGGAGACAGTGTTCATGACCTTAACTGCAGCCGGTCGCCTGAGGGTGATTGAGATGTTTTGGCTTCACTTTTGGGAGCTGTCATGTCATCCATCTTCATTTGCAGTCATTGTTATAGATATAACCAAGGAGCTGGATGCCACGACTGTAACCCTCTTCATCATGTTATGTGTTTGGGTAACAGCTTTAAAGAACCTCTGGCAGCAGAAAGGGCATTTCTTTGTGTATGGATAGGTAATATCTGTTTAGACAGGAAGAGGAAATTTTGTCTATTTATGTTTTGTGCTATAAATGAGTGTTTTGTTTTTTCAATGCAGAGAGAAACAGATTATGTTTGAGCAGTAACTGAAATGACAGTAGAACTAAACCAAGCGGTTTGATCTGATCAGCCGAGTGTGGGGCACCGCTTTCATTGAGGCCTTGAAACGAGACTGCCTCCCTGACATCGTTCACAAGCTTTGGTTTTTGGATTAATCTGCTTAGCTGTGTTTTCCACAGACTTTCATCTTTTTACAGACCACACACCCGATAACATTAAAGGCTCTGTAGAAAGAAAGAAAATCTCAGATGATATCAGCTAATAAATAAGCTTGGCATACTGTAATTATGTGGTCGTATGGTTTTTAGTTTGCTCATTGTGACCTAAATTTTATATTGATATGTGGTGGGTAATTTAGATTTGTGGGTAGGACCCATTCCCACTGTGTGGTCTTTGTGTGCTCTGTTTTTGACAGAATGTGTGAGGGGGGTGGATTGGCCATGCTTGGATAATCTAAGCTGCTCTCTTATTTTGTGAGCATTTTCAGTAGTGGAAAAGAGATGGAGTTAGCAGAGGGGACGTAAATCTAACCTGAAAACAATGTGTTTTAAGCATCTCCATTTCAGACTAAGTAAAAAGAACATGGCGCCTAGATTTGAAGGCTCCATTAACCCTGTCGCTTCTCTGACAGACCTTTCCTCAGATATTCACCAACCTATCCTTTGTATTCAATTGCAGTGGAAATAGTTGTAATTAGTTGAATCTCGCCTGTCCAAGTCACTCAGTCAGGACTCGGCTGCTCAGGCTCCAATGGCGGCAGTCTAGTGCTTTGTGGCTGCCAAGAGATGTGCCTGACTGGTTTTGGCATTCCCCACTCACTGGTTAATTGGATCTTCACACACTGGGAACTTGCATAGAGGAAGTGGAGGCCTGGCACACAGCGTCATAGTAATCAAACATGTCAGAGAGATTACACCAAACGCCTTGTTTCACCTACTCCTCTGATGGTATCAGGCTCAGCAAACTGTGTAAGGTCTCACAATGCTTTACTGACCACCTCAAAAGCAGCGTGAAGTATTCACAGTATTCACACTGTGAGATGCAGGGGTTGGGCTGAGCTAAAAGCTGTTTTATGCAAAAAAAAGACAGGAGCTAAGCAAAAGAACAACATTCAATAGCTTTTAGGTTTTCAATTTGTTTGTTTATATCACTGATCTATGCAAGCTTATTATTTAACCTCAAGAAACCTACTTAAAGTAGTGTTATTTAATGTTATTTCAGGGGTATCAGGATTACATGTTGTCCTGTGTTATATATTTACTCCCGCTTCCTTCCATAGTCCAAGGACAGGCAGGTTAGATAAACTGGTGACTTTAAATTGCCTGTATGCATTAGGCGAGTAGTTAATTCCTACCAGGGTTTCTCCGAAGATACAGATTGGAGCTGATGGGTTGGGAATGTGGGTGTGAGTCCTGAACCCTAGTGAATCCTGACTTCCTGCTGAATAGTAAAATCTTTATGGATGGCCACCAACCACCGGCAGTATTTCTCTTGGTGCAGCTGCTGTTCAGTCTGGCTGTGACAGACACAGATTTCCTCCCCTCAACCCTAAATGAAAGTTGAAGCAGTATAGTAAATGGATAAATAAATTATTTCAACAGTCACTGATAAGACTTCTGCGGCTCTGGTCACTTTTCCTCCCCTTCCCTCTCAGCCGACTTGGTTAAATCCAGCCTCACACAGAAACCCTGAACCCATCAACACCAGACAGCCGCAGGAGGGGGTCAGAAGCACAGCTTTAAGCTATTAGGAGAAGAATAGTTTTCAAACCACACAGCAGTGATTAGCACTTCACAGCACAGTGCAGAGGGTTCTCTGGTCTGTCACTTCATCAGAGCGAAACCTCCCCAGCAGCCCACGTTCCTGTGACAGATTTACATGCACTGTTTACACACTGCGCAAGCTAACCTGGTAATTTTCAATCATTCAAAAACTTAAAAGACAAAATGAACAAATAAATAGTATTCCTGTGATCTGAAGGCTTTTGTTGATATAAAAGAGTACAAGATTGAAAAAGGGAACATGCTCCATACAGATGTGTTTGCTGTATAAGTTACACAGATGTGTATTTTACCCCAGTCGAAGCCAGAAGTGTTTACTTCTATAGGCAAATCTAACTGATGCATGATGAGTGTTTTAGACTTGTGCATTGGAACGGTGATTGACAGACAAAGAGAGCACTTTTAAAATCCACTTTCAGCTGCTATACACTGTTGGGTGATTTGTCTTTGAAACTTTAACAGCATTTGCTCTGCGTTTTGAGGAGGAATAATAATTTCATCATCTCCAAAATCAATTTTTATTTAAGTCCGGATATTAGAAAATAAACTTAATGAGCTGTGTAAAACATTTTTGAAACAAAGTATGGATATGATGATGTTTCACAGGTCAACATTGATGGCTGGAGGTGCAGGAGGGAGTGGGCGTGTTGCAGCTAACCCCTGGCTGGTCAACGAATCAGAGGAGACCAGAGGGCTGACCTTTGGAGAAATCAAACAACAGCAACAACAAATCATTCAAGGTAATGACAAATTGTTTCATACCAGCCAAAATGTATTATATTTTCTTATAAAAAAATTGTCTTTCAGAAATCTTCCTTAATCAACATCAAACAGCAAGTATGTGTATGGAAAACATCTATAGCTCTAACAGTATCCTCCATCAGTGGGGTAATATTTGTCGCATATTTGCCCTTATACAGCATTTATGTCATCAATATATACGGCATGACAGTCCTACATTTATAAACATAAGGCAGATATAAATAGTGTATTCTACACCAGACATGAACTCAGCTGTATTGGCCTAGATCTATGCTAACATATAAAAGGCGGTCATCTGGAAGACATATTGTAAGCCCTTGTCTACTTTTTCCTTTTCTCATGCTCTGATATGAGTTGAACATCCAGACGTTAGTTCACCTGACTCCATGTGACACTTCATTGCTATGTCTCCGCTATGACTCTGGTTACTGTCGATTCGGGATCAGAGATTCCTGTCAGACAGTGAAACTGAACCACTCTGATTTTGAGTCCCCTGTGGGATTTCTGAGGGAGTTGGGTAATGGTTAGTTCCCGAACCTGTGGTTGTAAAAAGAATCCTGTGGTAGAGAGTGTGTCAAACTTGGAAACCTACAGAGGCCGCAGCTTTTCTTTTCTCTCCTCTCCTGTTTTTCCTCTCCACCTTGGTCTACCACAGTTATAATAACAGGAGTAAGTCTGAGTGGGGTAAAGTACTGAATGACTAACATGTGGCGTTGAGCTGGACCCCAACAGCCTGTCATCCCTGTTTCTTAAATAGTTGCTTTATTATATCACCAGCAGAGTTTGCTGTAATTGCTCCCTTCTTGCAATTGAATAAAAAAAAAATGATTGCAGCATTACCTACTACAACTGATTCTTGTGCACTATGTCTTTTGGTCATGTTGACCATTTTCTTTGATTATATTTTCTCTGTTGTTTTCTGGCATTACATAATCAAAATCATCTTTATTGGCCATGTATACACATATATGGAATTTCTTTATTTCTTCTTGACATAATTTCTGTCTCTGTGTCCAATTCAAATGTGTGATTTAAAAAAAAAAAAAAAAATTCCCTCTCTTCTCAGCCCAGGATGCAGGCCTGGATGCACTAGCAGCTGTCATCAGTCGACAGAAGATAATGGGCCAGGAGATTGGCAATGAGCTGGAGGAACAGAATGGTAAAGTTTTAATGTGCATGTGTGTTTTTGGACATATTGGTCAAAAACATTCCAGACCCATTACATATGGTAGTGTGAAAGCAATCAGACGTTTTTGTCCTGCAATGGAACGACTTGCCTCATGTAACTTTGCTGAACAGTGATACTCCCTCAAACCACTGACAAAATGGTTACACACACACACACACACACACACACACACACACACACACACACACACACACACACACACATACACACATACACACACACACAAATTACCATTAGTAGAGCAAGTGACCTTACATTTCTGTCACGACCATGTCCAATACCAAAGTGATACTTCATGGTTCTAAAAGTCATTGAATTTTGCAGTGTTAGAGTTTTGTGTTCTAGAAACTGAATCTACTCTAGCTAATGGCGTTGTGACTTATTTCTGGCTAAATGCCTCTCACTAGTCCATTAATAGCCTCTATCACAGATACAAAGTGCTACACAGAATGCCGTGCATCATTCCAGACGGTTTTCCAGCTCGCAAATCTGCTACTTGAGACGTTATACTTGTGTACGATCATTTGTCAACTGGTGAACAATTAGATCTTTTAATGCATCCCTCTTTTAGAAGATTATGGCAGTTTATAGACCAGAGAGTGTTTGTTTACAGAGGGGATGCACACTTGTACCATCACTTATCCATCCGTTATACAATGTGGGGAATATTCTGATCAATCAAGCTTGAAATCATTTTGGATTTTTTTCATTAAACTTCATATTTAAATGTGATTAAGTTAGGACAGAACATGCATTTGTTGATCAACTTCTCTTCTGACAAGCAGGGAGAGAAACACCTCTATCAACTGTAGGTTGATAAAAGAAGGGATAATTTAGCCCACAGCAATCACTACACTGAGAGACGCCTTCGCTAAGGTGGGAGGTGTCACTAATTGTCTGCAATGTGGAAGAAAGTGATAGCAAATTCACGGATCCGCCCCTTCTTCAGAATTTGTGCCAGAATGTAATAGGTTCTTTCCTGTCCCATGTCCCATCATTACCAACTTTTGGAGAAATCTGTTTTTTGCGTAATTGTGCTATAAAACAAACAAGCCAACCGACAAACAACTGGACAGGGGTATAAACATAACTGCTGGGGGAAATAAAGAAGTGGTGAGGCTGACATTAGATGACGAGTGATGTTGTCAAAGACACTTCAGAAGGAGTGGCTAGACTCTAGACTTGATATTTCTCTCTCCATGGTCAGTCAACTTTGACCCAGAATACACAGCTCAGAGCTTCAGTCATGAGTGGGCCAATTAAATCTGCCATTCTGAGTGAAAGAGCAACAAAGTTATACATTTCAACAGAGGGATTAATAAAGTTAAAATGGTTTTATTGGCTTCGAAACCTCATCTGGATTTTCTCATGTACCAGTTATTGTCTGTTTCTATCTTGGCGACCAGCTTCCAGTCGGGAAAAGAAGGTGTTGCACTCTCTTGTAATATCCTGTCTGAGCAGTTGTACCCAACCAAGTCCAGAGGTTGTATAACGGAGTGATCTTGCCGTGGAAACAGACAACCTTCCCTTCTGCTGGGAAAGGACGGCAGATGTTTGATTTTGGTCGACGCCAATGGGAGAAAGGAGGAGAAAGTGAAGAAAGCTGATTGTTTTAGCCCACTCTCCTGTTACTGTATTGAACTGGAGACGGATCATTGCTCTAATGCTCCGACTGGTGTGTTTTTCTTCTTGTTTTTTCAGCTTGATGTCAGTGTTTCCAATAATAAGAACCCGAGTGGGTGAAGGGAGAACTGTAACTGAGAGTTAGACCAGCTCCACTGCAAGTAAGCAAGAAGGGAAATGATTTTGGCCCTTTCTGTCACTACTCCTCAACCCATAAGTATAAATCTGATGAGAACTCAACCCTTTATTTCTATAATGGTCTAAAAAACTCCTTGCCACCTGTTGTTATTTTAATCGGCTCTATAATTCAAAATCTGCAATTTATGGGTAAGATTCAGCTTCATAAGACCCCTGGCAAAAATCACAGGGCCAACAGGCCTCTGACCTTCCACAGCTTGTCTTTACCTCCCTGTCTCATCTCATGCCGTTTGTTCTTCTGTGCCTCTCTTCATCAGTCCTTGAGTTGAGTAGTGTTACAGATACTGGATCCCTAGTGTTTGATATAAAACATGTGCAGGTGTAGATTCTTAAACTGCAGATATACTTTTGGCTTAAATGTAGCTGGAAAGCATTGGCCCAAAACAGAACTATACAAGCTTTTAATCAACTCTGAAATAAGATTTTTCTTTGTCATGTTACTCTTTATTGGGGCCAATCAATAACAATTACAAAATAGTATTTTAAATATCATCATAAAGAAAGGTAGTATATTTATATTTCTGTATCAGACTATATTTTTCATCGTCTATTTGTCAGGCAAAGGTAATCTGCCTTTTTAGATTTTTTCTTTCCAATCACAAAACATATAGTATGTTGCTTCAGCTCTGCACTCTCACTGATGAAACGCCTCAAATATACTGATAAAACATTTTGATTCTTAATACTATAGTGATTTACAAAAACTTAGAAAATAGCAATTAGAAACTGATTTGACATTCCATTACAGAACAACAGAATGGCAGTTGTTTTTAATACAGCCTTTATTAATACTAAGACTTTATTTGATATATGGTTCGGTCTGTTTAGGGTCTGCTGCTCTATACACCCAGAAGGTCACCTAAGCTCTCTTTGGTAGTTAATCCAGTTTTTATGTTTTAAGTTATAGGAGGATATAGTTCAATGAATTTACTGTATGTTTCTTACTTGTATTAAATATCAAAATCTACAATGTGAAAAGAGGATGTTCTAATATTTTTCTGAGAGTCAGGAAAAATGTATTAGTTATAAAGCAGGAAAAATAGGTAAAGCTCCTTGTTGACCTTGACAGTTGATGCGTAACCTTGGAGTCCGACCGCTTTCCGTCTTGTGGGGTTCCTTTTCCCCCCCGATCACTGTTCTGTAGCTGTGTTTTCCTATAAATAGTTTAAGCTCTTTGTAGTTTGGCTGCCCAAGTGGAGCTCATGACACAAGTGCAGTGGAGGTTGCAGTCATTTCCTTTTTCGGGAGACAATTCCGGATGGGGTCAGCAAGATAGATGACCCTTTCCAGAGGTTTAGAGACGAACCCAAAGCCCCCAGTCACTCCCCTCTCAATCTTAACTGCATCTCAATGGACTGAAACGTAGAAATGAGCAAGCAGGCCCCAACCTTGACTTCAGTCTTGCCGCACATTGATCCATCGCATACTGACGTTGTTCCAATCTTACTTGCCAGTGAAAACAAATGATGGTTAAAATTAGCTCAAAATGTTCTGTCATCAGGTTTTTTATAATTCTTACATTATGTATATTTTCATTTCCACATTAAATGTTGCAGAAAATACTCCAGTACATACCGACTGAAATGACTTGTATCGGCATTTTTCTCCCTCCCCACCATGAAATGTCAACATTATCTCACTTTATTGCTATTGATATTTCTCAGATTAGAACATGACATCAGTCCATGTCTTGTACTTGTGGGTGACAGACAGCGGGGCGTCTAGCTTGTGAAAACAGCTTCTTTTGAAAGAGGCCGCAAGAGTTTGAGGCAGATTTTTAAGGGCTTCATCTGAATTGTTGTTGACTTGTTGAATTCTTGGCCGATGTCCCATCCTTCTTCCAAGTTTGGTGGAAATCTTTCCAGCAGTTTTAGCATAATCCTGATAAACAAACAGACAATGGTGAAAACAGCCTTGCAGAGGTAAATATAGCATAAATCTGTTTTGTATATCGATGTTCTCACAGCCTAATCAGGTGTGATGTGCTTGGGTAGGATCAATCCAATAAACAAAGTTCAGCAGGAGTTTCTGGATTAACTAAATCAGCTCCTCAGAGTTCATTAACAATTCAAATGAATCAAGACCATTCATTCCATGTACTTGTCTCCACATCCAGACCTCTGACAGCTCTAGCAGATGTGTTCTCAGGTGAACCAACAACTGCGGCCTTTTCCATGTACTGACCTCTTTTTTCCTATACTTGATCAAATACTTCTGGCTGCTTGGTATTTCTCCAGTCTTCACGGAGAACACAGTCACAGCCACATAATTTGTATATCCGCGACTGGAGAGAAACAGACCTTCATTGGGATTTGAAGAGAGGGTCTGGAACAAATTTTAGATGGATCCAAGAGATGTTTTCATTTAGGGACTGCAACAGGTCTGACCACATGTGCACTCTGGTTTTGTCTGAGACCTGGAGCTAAGAAAAATGGATCTCTATTTTTGGTGTGACATTAATAATAATAATACATTTTATTTCACGGTGCCTTTCACCCAAGGACATTGTACAATGCATCATATGTAAAAACAGGAATAACAAAAGTTGTATATATGCAATAAGTGAAACTTGCACATAAAGCTGAGATTTTCATTCCCATGTGCATACATATTAGTAAGCAGTATCAACAAAAGGCATCTATGAAGGGACATTTATTGTGATGTTTACCTTCTCTTTAAATCTAAATGTTTGCTTCGTCCCTATCTCTGCCAATAATAACAATAAATAATGATAACAAACTTTATTTAGTATATAATGTCAAGCTCCTGTTGCGTAAAAGGAAAACCTGATGCTTTCATCAGACTGTTGTTTGTCTTCGTAATTGTCATTTGTGTTGTTTCCATTATTTTGCTCTTCAGGGATTTAAGGTGTTATTCATGCACCCTTTATACAAAAAAAACATGGTTGCTGCATTGACTCAGTTTGTGACCTTTTGGTAATGGGAGTGTTTGTAAAGCACTTTGTCTCCCAGCCTGATTATTCTTTAATTGTGTGTTAGTTGCCATGTCATTGTTTGACTTTGTAAGCCAGCTGCTTAAAAAAACTAAACAGCCTTTGCTACCATAATGGGTCTTCATTTCTGGCTAATAATTAGATCAGTGATTTGATTCTGCCTCAGCGGGGGCCAAGTTGGGCAGCACTAATGACT